TTACTTGACCCCAAGTCAGTGTATTCATATATCTTCCGCACAGATTAAAGGCTTGTTTTATTTCATATTATTTTAAATTATTTCTTTACAAAGAAAGTAAATGTGTTATGTGTTAATTACAAAACCTTTTGATAGCCCCAGAGTTTCTTTGTAAAGTTTTTGTAAAGTTTGTAATGTTCTTTGTAATGTTTTGTTTAAAAAGCACCTCCTGGAAACTACTCGAGTACACCATAAGGAATAGTGGTTGTCCTGGTTGGGAACTGCTGCATGAGATCATGACATCTGTAAATGCACATCAGTATAACAGAATATCAGAAAGAAAGATCTGTATTGTTCCATCACTGGAACTTCATACGAAATGTGAATCAAAATGAGCAAGGAAAGGGTTAAAGTGTCAGTTTCAGATCAGAGAGCAGACGAACACCTTTCAGCATAGTTCAGGCAAAATTACAGGCCCTCACATTCATGCAAGACTACCTCACCAGCAGCAGCAGCTCCACTCCTCACAGCCTGTTCCAAAAATACACGGCTCACAAAGCCACAGCTTCCTGGATCTTTTTCATGCATTTGACACTCCAGATGTTACAGTCCTTACAACCCACAGCTGGATCCAACATAGATGATTTACAGGTTAAAAAACAAAACTCCCATCGCCCATAAATTCCTATCCTGCTATAAACACCGTACTGTACTTTCACCACGGTAAATCTCACCTATCGATCCATACAATTTGCCGTCTTTATGTGGAAAGTGTATCCTTACCCTTAGCATGAACAGATCGGTGCTCCTGCTGCTTGCGGCAACCGAGCCCCATGTTGGCACGCGGGCGCCAAAGAGGGCAGCGCTACAGCTGTGCCATGTTAGTTACATCTCTGGCCCTCCTGGAAGGTGAATATGCAACATAGCTGTGTGCCAGGGGTGTGCGATTGAGGGAGAGAAAACAGAGAAAGGAGAGGAAAAAAAGTGTGCATGGGACGGAGAAAGATAGACAGAATAGAAGAGAAAAAAGAGTGAAAGAGAGAGCGCAAAGAACCCCACAGTACCATCACCGCCAGAAACCCGAAAAACAAGTCCTCCGTCTGCTTCATTCATTCATTAAAAAAAGAGTTGTTGTGTTCTCTTTTCTTCAACCTTTTTCTTCCCCGCCCCCCTGGTCTGTCAGACTCGCCCTCGCTCACCCTCATGAGCGGAGCCACCACAGTGCTCATCTTTGCCAAACACTGCAACCCCCCCCCCCCCAAACACAAACAGACCCAGCTAATCAATCTGTGTGTGTGTGGTTGGGGGGTTGATGTGTCTTCTCACGGGGGGGCCGGTTGAACATTTCTGCAAGCCTGATGCACAAATCTCTGCATGTTGCCTGGATCTTTCCCCCTATTAAATCTAACAGATTATTAATTAAAACTTCCCCTCTTTGAAGACATTTCGAAGACCACAAGGGGCTTTGTGTGTTACACAGATGCTTTTATTGCTCATTGCCAGAAGGCTTTAGATCAGAGCTTTAAATGTACCAAACTGCAATCTTCACAGACAGAGCGTAGTGCTTCTGTCAGCTGTAAGGACATGCTCGGATCAGACCTCCCTACTCCAGTCTGCAGTCGTGCTTTTGTGTCGAGAGCAAGCGTAAATAGAGCCATTGTTTGAGTGACTGATATAAAAAGACCAGGACTTATGGAAAGCAGGTTTAGTTTGGTGTACTTAACAAAACACCATTATATGCAGAAGCTCACATTGTCCACCTTGCAAAAGGATTATAGGGGTGACAATAATAATGTATGTAGTACAGAATGAAAGAAAAATACATAAATGAAGGCCAGCGCAGAATCTCAACAACTACTGCATGCTTCATTCTCAGCAGAAGTTGCTAAGACTTGCCTTTTGTTTGGCCTATTTTTAAGAGCTATTCTTTCTCTAACTCCCAAGACTCTCAGAGACAAGGGATTTAGCCTTTATTGACTTAATCTTAATTTCAATAATCTTGGATGCAAGACCACCAAGACACATCAGAGGTTTTTGTGTCCACTCTTCATGCCAAACAATTAATGACTAATCAGTTTTAATTTTTACATAAAAAGTAAAAGAAAAAGTGTAATTTTCAAGCATGACAGTGTAAGTATGAATTTACAATGTCAATACGTTTGAAAAAATACAGTAAAATCAGTTATATAGGTCACTCTTTAGTTTGGGGGCCAATTCTCACTATTAACTAACTATTAGCTATTACTTTTGCCTCAATAAACTCCTAATTTACTGCTTATTAATAGTTAGTAAGGTAGTTGTTAAATTTAGGTATGGGGAAGGATTAAGGGATCTAAAATATGGTCACGCAGAATAAGGCATTATTATGTGCTTTATACATACTAATAAACAGCCACCATGCTAATAATATACAGTACATGCTAATAAGCAACTAGTTAATAGTGATAATTGGTCCCAAATCTAAAGTGTTACCATAATATTTAAAAATATTATGACTTGTTTATTCAAATGAACTATTGTCTATTTTATTATATTTTAAAATGTATTTTATTCCTGTGATGCAAAGCTGAATTTTCAGTCGCATGATCCTTCAGAAAACATTCTGATTTGGTGCTCAAGAAACATTTCTTCTTATTATTCATATTAAAAACTGTTGCACTGTTTGATATGTTTGTAAAAAACAGTATTATTTGATGAACAGAAAGTTCAAATGAACAGCATTTATTTAAATTAGTAATAATATGTAACATTACACATTTTTACTTTCATTGTACTTAAAACTTTTGAATGGTGGTAATGGTTAATGATTTATTAATTTTCTCTTTTTACCTTTCATTCCATAATGTACTTGTTCATGCTTAGATTTTGCTTCAGCATGAAATTAAAGTATTAAAGTCTCAGGAAAGAATACAGACACCTCAGTCCTGAATGCCAAGTGAAGCCACGTGTTTGTGTAGGTTGAACTTTTATGCTCAGGTTTGACTGCTGTAGCAACAGCTTGTGATATTTACTTGTTGTAAATGAAAGAATTCTCTCATCAGTCATTTTATGACAAAGACGGGAGAGAGTCTGAGCGTTGCTAAGCACCTAAATAAAATATCCCAGTAAAAAGACAACAGCATTTCACTATAACATCACCAAAGCTATAAAAACGTGACTGTAGTGGACGAGTTTCATAATGCAAACAGATTTTCAGAAAACCTGACCGGTAGGACCACATATACATGGAGATAAAAAGTCCAGCTGTCATGCTTCAAAATACTTAGAGTGTATAAGATTTTCTAATATTGACAGTTAATGATTGCTTTCAGTGGTTTCAACACAAGCAGCTGTGTCACTAAATGCATCCTGAAGGTCTCATTAAGCATGTGTCACTGTAAAAAGACAACAGCATTTCACTATAACATCACCAAAGCTATAAAAACGTGACTGTAGTGGACGAGTTTCATAATGCAAACAGATTTTTATATAGCATTTCTGCATAGGATGGGAATAAAAAAACCTGACCGGTAGGACCACATATACATGGAGATAAAAAGTCCAGCTGTCGTGCTTCAAAATACTTAGAGTGTATAAGATTTTCTAATATTGACAGTTAATGATTGCTTTCAGTGGTTTCAACACAAGCAGCTGTGTCACTAAATGCATCCTGAAGGTCTCATTAAGCATGTGTCACTACTGTGGACCACACAGGCAAATGTGTATCAGTTTCACCCATTTAGACTTTATTTTAAATCAAGGACCACCTGCAACAGCTCATGTTAGCCTGACACTCCATACTGAATTCAAGGTCAGCTAAGGTCGTGTCCTTTGTTTATGAGATGCTGGGTCAGGCTGTGCAGAATGATGTGATATGTGGAGGTTCCCAGAGTACATGTAAACAATAGATGCTTCAGCAGAATCTGTCCCACAGGAACATACTGCTGCATCTAGCATGACCCATGTGACACAACAATAGTGGATTGTTTGCTTTGAATGAGGAATTCAGGCTAATCGTATATTATTCCTGATATGCGACACTCCAAAACTAATTAAATGAAAACTAAATAGATAAACCAGATGAACGACTCAACAATAACTTTACATTGTGGGTAATTATAAAGGTACCATTTGATACATATGACCTCCAAACAGAAGGATCGACTAGTGGAGACCACTGGTGAAATTTGGGTAACACTTTACAATAAGGTCCTATTAGTAAACGTAACTAAATGTATTAACTAATATTAATTACCAATGAGTAATACATTTGTTTACTAATATTTACTAATCTTTGTTAACATTAGCTAATAAGAATGCATTTGTTTATTGTTAATTCATGTTAGCTCAGGTCCATTAAATAATATTTACAACTTTTGTAATGTAGATAACTAATGTTAATTAATGGAACCCTTATTGTAGTGTTACCAAAAATTTTATTTTTTTCGAATCTACTAAAAAAAAGGTAGTGATGCATTAAAATACATTATATTATCCGCATAACTAAATGACAAATAAATGGTAATTTCAGGATATTGTGTACGTTTCCCTTTTGCCTAATGAAAGCAACACTTATATATTTCCTTTTTTTGTGTCATACATTTTTCAATTTAATTTTTTTAAATGATTTTATCACAAGGTTTAACGAAAACAAATCAGAATTTTCAATAAGGTCTCAGACTTTTGGACCTTACTGTAGGTGGTCAGCGTTTTGCACATGAATGGATTTTAGTCTTCACAAATGTCCTTCATGTATCCTCAGAGGACACCTAATGCCCTCTAGTGATTAACTCTGGTAATGAGGAAGCTGTATTTCATCAGTAACAATATGCAAGCCACTGCTCAGAGCCTGCAAACACAGTGCCTTATTTGTTTTCTTGCTTTATCATTATATTCCTCCTTGAGTGACAAGTAGGATGAAGAGTATAAGTAAGAATATAAAATAAAACATGCACAGCTAGATTATGCTTGATGCCACAAGCCTTTAAACGCTTTATTAAATCAGACCACAGAAGATTCTGGTAAATTTAATTATCTCCTACCTGGAACTATTTCAAAAAGATGCCGCCCAGGTTCATCAGGATTGGCTGTCAGCTCGTTGACTTGACTACCCTGCAACGGGAAACATCCCTGGAGGGAAAAAGAAAGAAAAGATTGCTTTAAACAGTGAAAGCAAGGGCACTTTTTAGAACAATTTGTGTTCATTCCGAACAGTTTTACATCATTTTAAGATGTTGTAAATGAACAATTTCTCTTCATGGATAACTGGAGATTAGTGTTCCATTAGGCTATTGTAATTTGATTATTGATTTGTGGTGCTAATAAGCGCCTACAGGGGCTCACCTTCAGGGCAGATAAGGCAGTGTGGGATTATAGTTCACTGTTGTGTGCATGGCCCAATTTTACGCTGTAATCAGCAATGCTGAGTCATGCATAATTAGACCCAACCACAGTCAAATGATAAATTATGCACCAGCCTCCTTTAACTCATCCTCCATTCTTCGCTGCCCCAGCATTAACGCAGCGATGCAAGTTCTCATCGCTCGACTAAAATTCCTCTCTGCCATTCAGCTGCAGTTAAATTAAATTTCAGAGGGTTGCATTGATAAGGGTAAATGCTTATAGGGTTACTCACTCAAATGCAAGCTGGGCACATTTCTGCAGCAGAGATTGAATTTAGCTGGGATGGAGATGGGGTGGGGGTGGAAAAAGAGAGCAGAAGCATTACAGGGAGTTTACAGGCTCCAGAGGAGAATAATACCAGTTGAAGGATGGATGAGCCAGAGTCGGCCGTATATGCTGAAGAAAGTCATGCTGCATTAGGGGTCACAGGTCGGCAGCTCTGTATCTGCTAAATGCTTTGACTTACACTACAGCCAAGCTGTTTCCAAATTAGTTTGTCAGGCTAACAGCATGCTGATGTCATTCTGGTGTAATGGAGACACTGAGGAGGATATAGCTGTGTTCCCAAAGCTTTGCTGACAGTGGACAATGAATCACTAGCATATTTATTTCTTTATTGAGCCAGAGTCGGCCGTATATGCTGAAGAAAGTCATGCTGCATTAGGGGTCACAGGTCGGCAGCTCTGTATCTGCTAAATGCTTTGACTTACACTACAGCCAAGCTGTTTCCAAATTAGTTTGTCAGGCTAAGAGCATGCTGATGTCATTCTGGTGTAATGGAGACACTGAGGAGGATATAGCTGTGTTCCCAAAGCTTTGCTGACAGTGGACAATGAATCACTAGCATATTTATTTCTTTATTTATATATTATATATATATATACTGTATACTCCAAATTTTTTAACAAAAATTATACATGAACAGCAAAAGGGGAAAAAGGGGGAATTTTACAGGAGCTGAAAATGACAGTATGTTATTTATTTTATAAATAAAAGAGCAATTTGATCAATATTGTTTACATTTGTGTTGTTTAATATTTTGTGCAAATTTGTGCATAGAGTCACAATTTTAATTTTATGTTTTTAATATTTAAATATTTAAGTTTTTAAATGAGTAAATCTCTTATGCTTACTAAAGCTGAATTTATTGGATCAAAAATGCATTAACATTATTAAATATTTTAACAATTTAAAATAACTGTTTTCTGTTGTATTATTTTTTTAAATATAGTTATTTTATTTCATTTGGTACATTAATATATTCCAGTAATACACTTTTCAGTGTCACATTAACCCTATGAGAAATCATTATAATATTTGGTGCTCACAAAACATTGATTATGCTTTTGCTGCTTAATATTTTTTGGAAAAAGTAATACATTTTTGTAATAATTGTTTTTTTCAGGATTCTTTGATGAATTGAAGTTCAAAAGAACAGCATTCTTTAAAAACCGAAACCTTTTGTGACATTATAAATTATTTTACTGTCACTTTTGATCAGTTTAATGCATCCTTGATGGATAGAAGTATTAATTTTTAAAAAGTTGTTAAATGGTAATGGTCATTTAAAAGTGTATATGTTTATAACATGAACATACAGTGGTTCCTAACATCATATAGCTAATGCAATGAAATTCATAACTGCCTGAATGAATGCAGTTTTGTCTCTCCCATTGATTCAGGTTGAGCCCAATAACCTGTAGATGGCGTATACGGTGGGTTGAGGGGTTCAACTTGAAAACAGTGACGTCATTAGTTTTCTCACAATCAATGCTTAAATCATTAAGATAAATGACATATTGATTTTTTTAGAGATAGAGTTATTGATCAGATGTGAAAAAGTCAAGGTCTATTATTTTTAACCTATTTTTACAACATTAACTGTCATCTTGTTTAGACACAACAGGGCCAGATTTTATTTTGATTAATGTGGCTGAAAGACAATCTTATATTCCAGATAAATGATATAATAATAAATAACCTGTCTTTATTTTTGTTCTCAGGTTGCTCTGTCGTTTGCCCACTGTACCTGTGGTTTGGTTTCCTCCTCATCTTTGTAGAAGTAGAGCTGGTCAGTTCTAAGCACAAACCAACGCAGCTGCCAGTTCTTCATGATGCTGCGCTGTTTCTTAAGCCAGCCTGCTTTCAGCGCCCTGTCTTGGAGGCTGGGGGACGATGGCCTGCTGGAGCCGCGGGAGAGCTCCCCCATGACCATGCTCTTAGACCTGGCTGGAAAGGTAAACACAAACACGTACACACATTCAAACATGTTAGGTTAGATTTCATGTCACATTTACAGTACATTCTCATTCTGCTCATCTAAACCAAGCGAATTAGCCTTTACTAGTCTGGACAAGTATATACACAGAAACACACATAAAAATGCATAGATGCATTTGGCAATGCAAGCAATTCGCCCACCACAGCTGAAAACAAGATGTATCATGCATGCCTTATGACAGGCTTCTCGGTAATGCAAAAGCCAATTTTTTGGGCTTATTCATGAATTTAAATTCCTCTTATTTTGACCAGAGACAACCCCAAACCACAGCAAAGCAGATCAGATTGGGCAGCTGTTTTTGAGAGGCATGCCTAGTGTCACAAGCAGCTGCTTTATACTTGTGGGTCGGAAGAGAAAAAATCAATCTTTACTTTCCTGTGTGCTGAGAGCAGCAGGATAGCAGTAAACATGAGAGTGCACTCCCAAGCTTTCTTCATACAGCCATGTTTAGGATCACTCTGGATCATCTCTTTTTTTTCTTGTCCCACTGATCTTAGTTGTCAAGTCATGACTGATTTTTTTTCTAGCCTTTATCAGAGTGGCCTTCAGTTGCTGGGACATTCCCTCTATGCAGTTCTTTTTTCATATTAAGAGTATGTATTAAAATTCTATATTTAAAATGAAATAAAAAATAAAAAAAATTGGAAACCATATTAATTTCTTTTCATGTTAACACATTTTCACAAGGAAGTGAACATGAATTTTAAATAATTGTATTACTTTCATTTTAATGACAATTTAATGTTTTAATGCTAATAATAATAATTGTTGCAATTATACTTTATTTATATACTAATATATACTATATTTTAATATATTAAGACAAAAATCTAATTTTATTTTGTTCCTTCTTCAACTGAAATGTTTTTTCAAATTTATTGGAAAAATATTAGAATATCATTAATATAATTAATAATCAAATTTCCAATATCAGTTTCCATTCTGTTAGATTTTTTAACATCACTGTAACTAACACAAGCCAGTTCCTCAGTGACATCATCCTCCAGGATCTGATGTCAATTTTGGTGGACGAACACTGAAGTGAATTCTCAGTTCCTCACTAAACATTTGTACCCTCCTGTTACATTCTATCCTATTAACTTTCTTGCCATTGTGTAAATAATCAAGTTGTAATTATACTTCCTTAAATTACAACTCAAGTATATCATTTTTTTCTGTGTTACAGAGTTGAAAAGGTACTGCATAACAGCAATGACCTGACCGCTCCTCAGTCTCTCCGTCTGAATGAAGGGCTGCTGATTCAATCACTGTAAGTAATGGAAGCCTCATCAGTGTTAATGTACACCTCACAGCCTCGTAGAGAGAAAGAGTGAGAGAGCACAAATGGGACAAGGAGGGTGGGAGAAAAGCCCCTAAAATCATCTTGCCCTTTGAACAACAGTCTCCAGGGACACACAGAAAGGTGTTTATCCTTATTACCCATAAACCTAATGGCCAACTCTCAATAACACACAGGTTGCCGACCGGGCAGAACGTTCAACATCAGATTTTCCTTCATTTGTCTGATTTTATGCTCCTGTGACATGTTCAGTCTAAAAATACTGGAAGTCTGACCAGAAATCCTTATTACCCATAAACCTAATGGCCAACTCTCAATAACACACAGGTTGCCGACCGGGCAGAACGTTCAACATCAGAATTTTCCTTCATTTGTCTGATTTTATGCTCCTGTGACATGTTCAGTCTAAAAATACTGGAAGTCTGACCAGACCCATGCATATTTTATTCAGACTCATTTTTTGGAATGACAAAAGAGCTTTTTTATGTGTCTGTTCCTTAAATATTCTTTCAGGGTTTTGGTACTGAATTTGAAGACTTGTTAAAAAATTATTAAGAATTAATATCAACAATTAATCTCTGTCTGAAATGATCATCCTGCTTAAAATAGCCCCGTAATAGAGTTTCGTACAAGACATGTTTTATGAGGACACCTTGAGTATGGCATGAGGAACAGAATAATAATGAATTTTTATGTAGCTCCTATTGGTTTGGATTATTCCTTATAGTTCAACTAATCCAGCTCTATTATAACCATCTTGTAGTTTACAGTAGGCATAAAAAATAAATTTATGCAAAATGCAAGTGAATAAATAGTTCCATCACGACTTAATTTTTTCCACCTCCACTATGTCTAAAAACATCTGAACTTTCTAAATGAATGTTAACATGTAATGTAACATTAAAGGACAATCAAAATAAATCATATTAAATAGATTTAAATATAAAATAATTCTGCTATCTATCTACCTGTCATACTTCCTGATAACTAATTCCGCATAAGTGCAGCGCAAAACTGAAAGGCGATTGTCAGTCCACCTAATGTTCCTACACTCAGAGTGAAATATCACAGCAGTCGGCAAATGAAACCTGGCAGTGTCTTTGAGCCTGCTGTGCTGGAATATGTGCTGCAGCCGCTTAAAACACAGCAAACCCAATACCCTCATCAAAAGTGACACAATCCATATGCAAGATGACAAATGCAGAGCCCAGCAGACAGACAGTGTACTTCAAATGCTCCTATTTGCTTTATGTTGCACAGCAGGCAGAAATCAATCCACAAATAGCCTTTTAATGCTGAAGCAGACAAGCCTATTCTCCAGGAGAAATAATCAGGAAAAACCATGCAGTTATCAGTTCAACTTTAAAAATGATATTGCACCTGTTTTGTGCATGGAATTGATCAATGGTAACATTGTACAATAAGGTTCAATTAGTTAATGCAATAGGTATCATAAACTAACAATGAAGTATCTTCATTGCAACATTCATTGGATAATGTTAATTTATAAATATACTATTGTCTATTCATATTACTTTATTTATACAACTGTTAAAAATCCATTAATATATGTGGAAATTAACATTAACTTAACATAGTTCATGACGCTTAATGCGTTAACTAATTAAAACTTATTGTACAGTGTTATCTGATCAATAAACTTATGAGATACTGAATGTACATTTAATTTACACTATAAGCCCTGATGTTATAGCAGGCTACAGGCTTTTACTCATGTAGGTGAAACTGTTTGACATTCAGCTGTTATGATTTATTACACCTGCAAGTCCCTTGATTCTAAGCGTCGAAACTACAATTCATCATAGTCCAAGAATAGAATGCAAGTAGAGTTCATGTACAGAAAAATGGCATTGGATTATAATGTTCACAATTATTCTTGACTTGTCTGCATCATGTACTGTACACTCTTGAAAATAAAGGTTCTTCATTGGCAATGATGTTTCCATGAAGAACCTTTAACATCATGGAACATTTCCATTCTACAAAAGGTTTTTTATAGTGAAAAAAAAACATTCTTCTTATTAAAATGTTGTTCACACTAAGAAAAAAATAACGGTTCTTTGGGGAACCCAAAAATCATTCTTATGACATTGCTGCAAAAAACACCTTTATTTTTAAGAGTGTATAAAAAATTCCACTATGAAATATCAGACACGATCAGCATGTGTCAGGATCCGAATCATGACTTCCTGGTTAAGGAGTGTGACACAAAGCCAAAGACCACTTACACTCATTAACCACTAATCAAGCTGAAAGATGTTACCAAGCAACCGCCCAGTCTATTGGATCACTGCCATGGCGCCTCAGAGATATACAGCCCATCACTGAGCTGTGAGATCAGCGGACTAGTGGAGCAGGAGCCGGTACTGAGCGCAGCTAATGCAGCCTGAAGAGGGTGTTGCTACGGATAGGAACGTAGGACACTGATGCTGTGAGAATTAAAGGTCTTACCTCTCCTGGACTGTCTAATCTTGGGACTTAGCATGGTGTTCATAGCTGAGCAACACTGTCCTCCATCCACATGTTGCGATCCGCACTCTGCTCTCCTCCTGAGCCTCGCCCTGTTGCACCTCTTCCGCCTGCTCTGGACAGCATCTGTTTTCCTCCCTCCCTTCTCTCTCTCTCTCTCTCCCCCCTTTCATGTCCCACTGGCCCACTGCACTGAGCGGCACGCTTCCTGGGCCCCTCCCACCCTCATCATGCAGAGGCAGCTGGAGGAGAGAGACCTCTTGCACACGCTCAGATCCACCCTTACCCATAATGCATTATTTATCCCACACCACCCAAATTAATTCCACTCTGGACCAACCATTAAAGGCCTGGATGATTACACTCAATAATTCAGTGAAGCAGAAACAGAAGGGCTTCTATCATTTCTCCCCCTTCGCTGTCCCTCCTAATTGGCTCTTTAGTATAGTGACTGTATCTGCATGTGCCTGTGTGTACTATTTTAGTTATACTTCTATATTTCCCTCCTTCACGCTACGTTAGCTTTTTTTCAGTCAAGGTTTTGCTCATTGCAAATCACTTCCAAAAACAAAACAAAAACAGATGTTAAAGGGTTAGACTGGCCAAAAAAAAATTAAATTCTGTCATTATTTACTCACTCTGATGGGTTAAACACCCACATGCTGTTTTTTGTGTACCACAAAGATAATTTTTGAAGAATTTTCTGATATTCCCCATATAACAAAGGCCAGAAACAACCTAAAGATATAATAAAAGTAGTCTACCTATATATGATTTGTGTGCTTTTTTGAATAAAATAAAAATAATGTAATTAATTAATAAAAAATAAACTAAAAAAAGTTTCAGAAGAATTAGAATATGGCTATTTTCATGGTGATTTTATAATTTTTTGAGGTTGACAGACATGGTCATTATGTCATTTATGAAAAGAGCTGCATATAAATATTTTTCGAAATATAGAAATATAATGGAACAACATGGGGGTGAAAAAATAACATTTTTATTTTTAGGTAAACTTTTTATTCATCCCTCGTTTAGCTTTAACTGTATTATCAGTGTTTAGTAGCTACTTTGATAAAAAAAAAGTCCAGCGAGCACACAAAAATGGACAAGTGAAAAATTTAAGAGGGTATAAGCTGGCCAAAAACGTCAGCGGTCAAGGAATAATTGACAAAACATCCAAAAGATTTCAACTTTTGAAAGAGATTGATGACATAAGCTATCTGTAAAGGATATTAGGTAAAATTTTATAGAGAAAGCAAGCTATGGAATGAATTAGGCCCGCAGTCAGTGTTCCCAGGTAAACAGGGTTTGGTAACCTAAAGTCCAAATGAAAAAGATTAAAAAAGGTCATTATGCAATCATCATCCTTTATATTAGCAGTGATAAGCAATGCAATTTCCAATCACAACCCTCTAACCTTTGAAAGCTGCTCAGTCTATGATATTGAGAAATAACTTTTGCCATGCAGGGGAAAAGCACTGCAGAAAAGATAGCCCCATATTCACCAAGAGCCGCAGCTATAATGAGAACAGCAGCTCCGCTGAGAGACGGTAACAGCAGCATCCAGAAGTACATCACTGCAGAACAGACCATTTCATGAATTACAGCTGATCAATATCATTATACTACAAACCCAAAGGAAAAGAAACAGTGATACCATACGAGTCCTTAGGAATCAGATCTTTTGGTCGTTGACTGAAATGCATCAAAATCCTGGAGAGCTGCTGATGTCTACATAAATATTAGAGGAAAAAAAGTAGATATAATCTTATTCTGTTAACAATTTAAAATCCCATTAATGTCAAAGTAACAATAATCACAACAAGTAGAAAACAATACTGCAATACTGTCAGTTTTTTTTTTTTTTTTACATGTGCCCTACTTAAAACTAAACATTAATTGCAGTGCAGATTAAGTAAAGAATTCTTTGCGTTTTCTGGTTTGACCATGTAATTTTTTTAATTCAATGAATTTCAAAAAATATATACAAATATCCTAGTCTGTGACAAATCCGGGTTATATAAATAAATCGATTAATATAAATAGAGTCTTTACATTTTCATTGGTTCTCAACAGACCTAAATGTATTCCCTTGATTACAGAGGTCTAGAGGTGTGAGGCCAGTGTGGTTTTTCATGTGTAAAATGTGGAGTCCGGCACTCTTCAACAGTAGCCAGCACACCTCAATCATGCCTTTCTCTGCAGCCACGTGAAGTGCTGTCGCCCCCTGGTGGTCAACTGCCTCTGGCGTGCATCTCTGGTTAAAGATTTAAAGCAAAAGTGGCAAAAAAATCTGAAACGCTGCAAAAGGCATGCAAGCACTTAATAAACTATAATTGTATTAAATACATATAAATAAACAAAGAAATAAATTGTGATATCTGAGTGTTAAAGCACTGTAAAGGATTAGCTTTAAACCATATAATAATGTAAGACAATGACGCAGCAAAGCCTATTATTCCCAGTCTCTTTAATGTCTGTCTACGGGATGCAACACTTAGGGCCCTCTTTTAACGATCTAAGCGCATGGTCTAAAGCGCACGACGCAATTGCGCTTAGGGCGTGTCCGAATCCACTTTTGCTAGTTTAACGACGGGAAAAATGGTCTAAAAGGGTTATCCCTACTTTCTTAATGAGTAATGGGTGTGTTTTGGGCGTAACGTGCCATAAACCAATCAGAGTCTCATCTCACATCCCCTTTAAAAGCCAGTTGCGCTCGCACCATGGCGGGTTCGGTATTTACATGGCGGAATTTAATTTTTAAAAATGTTTGTGTGCTGCTACTGTCCCTGTGTGTGTAATAAGCAAAGTGTACATGCGTTGTGCACCTGTCTATAGGCGCATATTACTAACGCGCTCTTTAAATAACAAAGAAAAAATATTGCACCAGACTTTAGACCAGGTTTTTGTTGGTCAACGGCGCAGTCTATTTCAGTTGCCTCAAAATAGCAACGCGCCAGCAATGTGTCTGAACACACCTCGTTTTCAGACCAGCACGCATTTGCTATTTAAACAACAGGACGTGAAAATGACAACTGCATCGGGCTGAAACTAGCAAAAAACACTTGCATCGCACCTGGCGCCGCATTGTGACAGGTGTATGATAGGGCCCTTAAGAGTGTGGGTACATTGTCAGCAAACTATTCCTTTAAGGAAGTTTTTTAATTTATTTTTTGCCATTTTTGCATTTTTCCTTGTCAGGACAGTAGAGATATGACAGGAAGTGAGTGAAAGAGAGAGATGGGGGGTGGGAATGGGAAAAGTCCACGAGGCCGGGATTCGATCTCGGGACACCCGAAGCACAACTGCGCCATATGTCAGCACACTGCTATCGGCGCTGACCCTTTAAGGAAAGTTTTAACCATAGGAAGAGAAGAAATTTAACAAATTAATGCCATTGTTTTGATTCTCTCTCTAGGAATAGTAGAAGTGTAAAAGCTGGTTCTGAAAGTAAAAAATGAAAGAAATGCAATGAATTTCCACACTGATAGGAGCAATTTATAGCAATTTTCAGGCATTCTGCATTCTCCTATCAGTGTTTTGGTGTCTTTTTACTCCAGTTGTACCCTGTAAGAGAACTACAAGCAATGCTGTAAAGTAAAGGTTCTTACATTAGCTCTAAGGAGATAGCGGACTACGTCAGAATTGCCTGTGGAAGCTGCTAAATGCAGCGGAGTGACCTTAAAGTTATCGGCATCTGTGAAACGGAACATTCCTGTCTCCCACAGGTACTGCGTGGCAATACTGAGAAAGAAGAAGAAAGAGAGAAGAACATGCAACAGTATATTTGAGTATGCAGTATACACCAAAACTACAATTCTTATCATTCTAGTGTAACAGGCCCAGTTACTTACACGCTTCCACCACCGACTGCATGATGAAGAGACGTTTTCCCTTGCTCATCAACTGTGTGTAAGTCTGCACCGTGCTGCATCATTTTGTGCATGATATAAATATTGCCATTTCTGTTAGAATAACACAGTACAGTAAGCCCTCTTCATAGGACGCTGGTGTAATGATCTTTCAGGAGAAGCAAAGTTTATGATGGATGTTTGAATTAAATTTACAAACATAAGATGGATGAGGTCTCTTGTACCTGCAAGCGAAGTGAAAAGGGGTTTGTCCTGCATCACAGGGAATGTTTGGATCAGCACCGCTGTTCAGCAGAAGCTCAGCCATTGGCCGGTTTCCATGGAGAGCGGCAAAGTGAAGGGCTGTGAAACCTCCCCAACCTGCGAAAATCTGAAAAGTTTACAACAACCACTAACCTTGAAACACAAATATCATGCTACTACGAAAGGTTTTTGACCATCCAAAAACATGAGTCGACAATTAACATGGATATAACACATCAGCTATAAGAGTTTATTAGGGATGCACCGATATGAAAATTTTGGCCGATACCGATAACAGAAAAAATGAGCCGATATGGGCCGATACCGATATGGTGGCCGATATATCGTGCATCCCTAGAGTTTATAGTCAAGTCAGTTTGTTTGTATATGAATAAATAGATTTTTATTTTCTTCTTTAGTCTTTACAATACCCATTTAGGAAACAAAACCAGCTCATTGATGACTAATCATCCAGGAAGAGACAACATGTTTTGTGGTATTATTTGGTTTTGAATTTCTTTTACAACATTCTAGCCAGTCACATTATAGAAATCAATATTATGTTATTATAAACATATAAACATTTCAAAGACGTCAAAATGTGTTGACATACTCGTGTAATAACTCAAATTCTCTTGCTGAACAATTAGCCTAGCTCTATATTTTCATCCTGTTTCCAATTGGGTAAATAAGTTACATTTGAAATAAATCTAAACAAATAGCTTGCACTACATACTTAAATCACAACTAACATTTATTTTTATAGAGCTCAGAAGGTTCATTCCCTGTTAATCAACAATTCTCAAATATTTATTAATCATAATTTAGTCAAAATACCAGTTACTACAGCTTTCAGAGTATTTGTCATTTTGTTGAATTCCCCTTGTTTGACGACCGTGTTGACAGTTTCATTGAAGTAACAATAATTGTGTGTGTATATATAATAATAAAAAAAAGTACTATATGGTTATCAAGGTAACTACATTTGTCGAAGGGTAGAACATCTTACAAAGTGTAATAGGTATCGGAAACAGTCTGGAAGAAGCATGGCTATTAAAACGACAAATGCATTAAAATTGATCGCACATCTAGGTATTTTCTTTAATCGAGTGGCCATAAATAGATAATAAAGCAAACGATAGGTGGGTTAAAGAATCCAAGAATAATAGAAAAAACCCGCTTAACGTACGCTCCATTGACCTGAATAGGATCAGGAAGGTTAAAGAGAAATGTAAACATAGGATCAGTAACTTTACAATCTCTGTCATCATCTGTCACTGTCACACTCACCTTTTTGTTTCAAAACTCCTCGATCCTGCTGTAATAAATGGGAAACTCGATCGATCTCCCTCCGTTGAATCGATTCAAATAGACAACTTCCTGAAGCCTGCAGCATTCTGCCACCATGTATTTACGCCTTCTGTAGGCTGAAGAAACTCTTGACCAACTGTAAGAAATTCATTATAAAGGATATATTAATTGTTCTGTTACGACTGGTGCAGTGGAAAAGTTTACGTACACCATAATATCCTCCCGTTAGATTATCAGGCAGTCGATAAGTGAGCGGATCTGATCATATGTAAATACGCTGTACTGATTAAAGTGAAACTCCGCCCTCTGGTGGATGGGGTTTATGTTCAACCAGTGGACGGAAGGGATAGGCTCGGCGGCCCAAAATCCCAGACAATCTAATAAAAGATAATCGTTTGAAATATGCAAAAGATTTAGAATCAGTAATTGAGCCCATTGCCCTCTATGGCAGGGAGGTGTGGGGTCCACTGACAAATCCAAATCAAGATGTCACCAAATAAGAAAAACATCCAGTTGAGACCCTGCATGCAGAACTCAAAATATATAATATATAAAAATATATTACACGTGCACCGGCACACAACAAATAATGCATGCAGGGCAGAATTAGGCAAATATCCTCTAATCATAAAGATACAAAAAAAGGGCAATTAAATTCTGGAAACATCTGAAGCTCCGTGACCCCCAATCATATCATTATAAAACCCTGCAATACCAAGAGATGAGCAAAGAAAGCAAGCCCTTCCCTCAGCTGATCCAGAGCTTCAGTCCTGATGCTTCACTAACATCTACTGCTGCTCTGAATCACAGCATCAGAATCAATCAGATTACTGCACAAATCAAACAGGACTACATCACACACTGGCAAACCCAAACACAACAGCAGAGTAAAGTGCAATGCTATCTGGCCCTAAAGAGAGAGTACAGTATGGCAGAGTATCTGTACACGATGTCAGATAAGAAACTGAGAAGCACGTTGACCAGATACAGACTCAGCGGACACAAGCTGATGATAGAGACAGGCAGACACAGAAAAACATGGCTGCCACCGGAGCAGAGACTGTGTTCACACTGTGATCTGAATCAGATGGAAACAGAGCTGCACTTCCTAACAGAATGCCCCAAATACACAGATATACAGACAGTGTTCTATGATAAAGTAGAGCAGATCCATCAGACATTTAAAACTCTTTCAAACCAGGAGAAACTGCCGTATCTGTTAGGAGAACAGAAGAACTGCTGTGTGTTTGCTGCTCAATATGTGTCTGCCTGTCACCATAGAAGAGAAAACACTCAACCTGCCCTGATCTGATGTTTCCAGCACATCTACATTATATTATACCAAATTACTGTATTATATTACTTAGATGTATATTTTGCTTCTGTAAATATGTCTAATCCCTTATTTTATTTTTATTTCTAGTTTATATACGTACATACATTAGTAATTCATTTTGCACTACATGCTTAATACTTTTTATATATTATTATTATTACTATTATTATTATTATTCTTTTTCTTTCTGTTAATAAATATGTGTACAATTTGTAAGCAGTCCAGCTGCAATTGCTTTGGCAATACAAATGTATAATTTTTGTCATGCCAATAACGCACTCTTAAATTGAAATTGAAATTGAGAGAGAGAGAGAGAGAGAGAGAGAGAGAGAGAGAGAGAGAGAGAGAGAGAGAGAGAGAGAGAGAGAGAGAGAGAGAGAGAGAGAGAGAGAGAGGGAGGTTTTAATTTGTTTCCTTATGATGCAACCGCAAACGACATTGATTGGTTCAGCTACACCAGCGCGTGGAAACGTCACAGGTACCACATGACAAGGTCACTGAGTCTGCTACAGACGTCTTGATGAAATTGCACACCTAAATAACGCCACTGAAACTTAAATATTCTTTAAGAAATAAAAAAGGAGTAAAGAAATAAAAAAGGAATTAATCATATGACTAATCTTTCCTGTGTTTTTAGCGTCTCACAGTCAGTTTCAAAGTACAAATTAATAATATACTTTAAATCAAATCAAAATATACTCTAAATAGTAGAACATTGACTTCCATTATGCGCAAAGTGAAGTTTGAGTATATAAACGGAATGTTTATACTGACAATAGTTTACTAATTTAAGAAAGTCACGTGCGCTCAAAATAAGGACAAGATCAATATTTGTCCGACTGTCTTGTCCTGCAAGACAGCAAGTGTGTATGTGAGTTCATTTATTTATTTTAATTGTGTTTATGCCGAACTAAACTAGCTAAGAACTCGATACCTTATATAAAATAGGGATTAACGCGCTCGTGACAGTTTGACCTTTTGTGAATTGATGATTTTACGATCGACAGATAAACGCAACATCAAAAACCATAGAAAAAGAAGCACATCTATCAGTTTGTTTAATGTGAAAATGATCTAAACATACGAGTCTATCAGATAAATATCAGTTGTACGAGTGTTTAATCTATTACTTTGTTTAGTCATTAGGTGATTTTCATTGTTCTTATTTTAGATATGTTCTTTCTTTTTTTTAACAGTTTCCATGTTGTCTAGTGTAATATTTTTGTGCTATCGTAAATTACCACATGATGTCCCTGTTGCTCAACATCTTACGCATTTTCAAGCGCTTACTTGAAGAAAATTACAATCACTTTAAACACCACAATGTATAGACACCATTTACGTTCTCTCAAACTCATTTTTGATTGGTCGATTTTTAATCTCCTTTTTGGAAAAATATAACTAAAATCAGACGTATTGCTTCAATGAAGTCTTCTTCACTTGATCCTACTTTGTCTATTGAAGTGGAGGAAACACACACACACACACACACACACACACACACATATGCGCAATGTCCTCCTTTTTTCACTAGGAACTAGGAAGTGAGGCACATGACCAGGCGCAGTTGATGTCAGAGCTTCATACTGTGCAAAGTTCAGTCAACCAGATTAGGAGGCATGTCTCAGCCGGCCACTCACTGAGTGCTGTGACATGGGAAGCCAGAGGAAAACCTTCTGTCCAGCCATAGGTCTACGTACACAAGCCTTAGCAAAGACTTGAGATGCCACCCACCAAACAACAGGTATGTGTGGGGTTACAGACTGATTAAACTGGAGTTTTGCCTGGGGTTCATATTAGTTTGAAAGGACTCAACAGACTCATTTTGACAGCTGCTGTTGTGAGGTTGCTTGCTGTCATAATTAATTTGTATTTCTCATTTAAGTGCATTCAAAGCATTTCTGTTGCTTGGAGACTCAACTTCCAGGAGGACAGCATGATAAAGATAAAAAATAAACGAGGAAGCTTGACTGATTTTAGTTAGATACTTTGAAAGGCTTGATTTGCACAACAAGATGACTGAACAAGACGACAATAAGGACGACAGTATTTAAATGACAGAGAAAAAGCAGGCAGGACGACAGATTAAGACGACGTCAACACACAACATACACGCCTACATATACTGATTTACCTGAACAAGTAGGCAATGACTGTAGACAAAGACAAATGTATAGTACAAAACACAAAGCAGTCGATTCATTTTTGACACAAATGGAACCCCATAGATTTGTTTGCCCTCGAACTAATTTGTTTGTATCAGGCTTAAACATTTCAACAATAAGCAAGCCAACTACTGTGGAGTATTAAGAATATTTACCAAGGTCAAAGCTTTAAATAAAATAATGAGATGACATTCATGTGCTGTATTTAGCTGTTGAGTGAATAAACTGGTGGGAATGTGCAGTGCAAACATGTCATTTCTTCAGGAATGTGAATTGTCCTCTGTAGCAAAACAAGCTCATCACAAGATCCCATTAACATGCAAACAGCTGATTGTAAGTTACAGGAAAACCCTCCAACTTACTGCTGTCTTTTGGTAACAGAAAGAAGGCAATTGCAGATTTGCCTTTTAATGAACGTTTATTGGCAGATGCTTCAGTTTCAATGTTTATACTGTAAATTCCTTTGTCGCATCTTCCTAAAAAAAGTTTTTTTGTTTTATCAGAACAAAGTCTCAGGTGTTTCACCTAAAACTATCCCATTATTTTTATTATATATATATATATATATATATATATATATTTTTTTTTTTTTTTAAGGAGCCAGTTGCAGAAATGGACAGAATCAATAAGGAGAACGGGGAACTTAGTGCGTCAGGGGAGAGTTCAGAGAGCATAGAAGTGAAAACGACACAAATCCAAAGTGAGACAAATGGGGACCTGAAAGCACATGAGGATCCAGTGGTGCTTCTGAAAGATCAACTAACTCAGCTGGGTACTATAAGCCAATGGACACCAGAACAAAGAGACCAAGAGCTCACCCAACTTCTGCTTCTGTTCATCCAGGTACAGAAAATCAGTGAGAGGAGTGGAGGAAAACTGATTATTCAGTTGAACATACATCATCCATTGGCAGTCTTTCAAATATGATTAATTACGTACAATATATTTAGTTTATATACAAATATATATACATATATTTTACAGACACACATGCACATACACACTACTGGTCAAATGTTTGGGGCTGGTAAGATTTTTTTAAAAATGTTTTTAAAATCCCAATGCTTTTTTATTAGATGATACTGTATATAATACAGTAAAAACAGTAAAATAGTCATTTCAATAGTAATACATTTTAACATGTAGCCTAATAATTTATTCCTGTGGTGTCAAAATTAAATTTTCTTCTGTGTCACATGATCCTTCAGAAAGCATTCTAATATTTACAGTATTGAAATGATACAGTATTCTTTGATGAATAGAAAGAGCAATATTTAATTGAAATAGCATATTTCAAGCCTTTACATTTTAATTTCTTTAAGAAGAAGTTACTACCCTGAAACATTGAATGGTAGTGTATATATATTTAAACACTTGATTTATAACGTATTTTGGTCATATAAATTCTTGAGATCTAATCTCTTTAAGAACTTAAATTTTACATTATATTAGCTGCCCGTGAGTGATTGGATGAATTTTTTGTCCCTTTGACAGAAGCAGATTGCATCACACTGACACAGATTCAACTAAAATCTTGCATTTCCTGTTTAAATTCCAGCAGTGATCTGTCACTACGTGTCAGTTGGTCTAGTTTGTTGCTGTATTGACAAACACACATGACCTACTGAAATGCAATCACGCTCACAGGCTTAGTGTGTGTGCACGTGTGGGGGTTTACAGACGTGTGACTTGTTGACTTACAACTGCTGGATTCTTACTGGGATTTAACCAACCATAGAGTAAGGAGTAAGGCACCACATCCGCTTGAA